AGTTCTCACATAAGTGCCCTCATAGGCCGCACATAAGCCGCAAAGATGCTGACACAAGGTTTCAGGATGCTCACGGCCGGGAATAGGGGATCTCCTAAGCTCCTCCCTCTCCCTCTCAATGTCAAACATCTTTTGGCATGTGCTGTACTTGTTCTTATTGCGACGTGCGGACCTCAACTGTCACATAACCTTCATCAGGAACACGCTGAAATCACATAAGAATGAACAGATCTACCCACATCCAAACTCCCCACCTGAAGCTTCCCTAGATTCAGCGTTTCATGGTTCGGCTTTTGCTCTTGGCTGCGCTCTTAGCAAGTTTATAGTAGCTTGTGTTTGTGGCCTACCTCAACAAATCCTGGCTACGTAAACCAACCATGACGCGAACTGCAACTATAGCTGGCCTACACAGGGGCACCAGCGGCTATCACCAGGATGGACATCCTGGCTCAGGATTACAAGCTGACCAACAACGAAGGTTCTGCACCTCCATCTCCAAATCTGTCAAACCGATACAGCTGATATTGCCAAACGAACTCTTTCGCAGCATATTTGGCGATGTGCCGGTCGCACCACAAAAGTGCGAGCATTCCGACTGAAGCCGAACGGAGTGCACCTTAGTTTTTTGGAGCCAATGACAATAGTCAATACTCTCACCCCCGTAGTATTCGATCGCACTGCTGAGTATCTTCGTTACTAGGTTACCAAATAGACCGGTGGTGTGTGGGTGTGTGCGTGCATCCTTTTCCGAAGGAAGTTGTGGAACCGCACTCAACGAAGCTACCACACTCATGGTATACCGAGTCTGATCTGCTCAGTGTACCTGCTCGGATTAGCTGGTGGGCCCCCTGAGGCACCAGGATAGGCGAGCAACCTCTAGCACAAGAGGCATCCATCTAGGTGAGGATGACAGGTCTGCAAGTGTGAGTGTGTGTGTGTGTGCGCATGTGTTTTGTTTGGCGTGTCTGTGATCGAAGCTTGTCTGGTGCAACCGCAGTAGCCTGAGCTGAGTGTCGAGACACAGAAGGCCTGTACCCTTTTGGCCCTTGCAGCATCGCGAGCATGCCCAGCGTCTTTTACTTCCAGGCGGGTAGTGTCTGCAACCTCAACCTCTCGGCCATGACCGCCAGAGTCTTCGTGGACCGGAGCGAGGTCGCGGCCCAGACATGCAGTAATGAGTTTGGGATTCCGGGCTGCGCACGGGGATCATTTCGAGGACGGGATGTGGATTTGTGAGGTCGTCTGGCCACGCGTAACTGGGATGTCGAATCTAGCCCTACCTAGCAGAAGTGCAAGTGCTCAAGTGCTCATTGATGTTTTGCGGATTGGGTTTAGCATGGAAGATGTTCGAGGTTTTTTGAAGTCTTGGGCTGCTTAGTTCCAAGGTGGAGTTTGCATACTTGTGCGTTTCATCCGGATATCTGCGTGCGCATAAGGTCGAGCTGAGCTTGCAGCGCCGCACCGCGGGTGGGAGCCTCGCGGAGTTTCGGCTTCCGGAGAAGTACAGGAAATCAGGGCCCGGGCGTCGCAGACTATAGATTCGATGGCAGTTTCAAGACGTCAAATGTGTGACCAATTCGCATACTCCTTTGTGACAGTGTTGCCTTTCTGCTTGAACCTGCATGCTCCAACGATCTCTGGCTGAGAATGTGATGGATTTCTACCATGCCTGACTCACAATATTGAAACCTCAAGTTCCACTTGCAAGGTCAGCAAAAAGGGAAGTGACGGTGCACGTTGAAAGAACGCATTTGCTGGTTTGTGTCCGGAAAGACTTCTGCAGACCCTGTTGACTTGCAGAGCCTGGCCAGCGCCCATCATTGCAACCGGGATCCACCTGATACTTATGATTATCTCACATCTGATACGTGCCCTTGCATAGCGAGACCCTTGAGGATGGCATGGGAGAGAGAGAGGAATTATTTCATAGGCACCTCATGCCAGGTGCAGGTGCTCGGGAGCGCGCCGGCGAAAATCGATCTCGCAACCACAAATCCTTTGTTTGGGAGTTCCTCGGCCTCTTTCAACTACATGGATTCGGGTAGCTGCTGGCTAGTGGTGGGCTTCCTTCAACAATCTCCGACCCCACTAGATTTTGTGCACGACGGAGTCTTGAGGCGGATCTCGTTTTCTGGTTTTCGATATGCTACTATGTTTCCGCCAGTCGCTCTGACCCGCAATGGTGTGAATACAGTTTGTTCGTTTGTACATAGCAGGAGCTGCCGTAGCACACGGCAGCATTAGTAGTTGTAATAGTCCGTAGCAGCGGTAGTAGTACTTTCCATCGTCGTCCTCGTGGTGGTGGCAGCAATGTACTTGTTACTAGTCGCTGTCGTCATGGCGGCAGCAGCAGCTACTACTACTACTACTACTACTGCGACGACGACAACTCCTAAGTATAAGAATAAGTAGCAGTAGCAGCAGCAGGAGCAGTAGTAGCCAGTAGCTGTTGTTGTGGTAGTAGTAGTAGTAGTGGTGGTGGCAGTGATAATGGTAGTAGTGGTAGTAGTGGCATTACTTGTGGTAGTGGTGGTAGCCGTAGTGGTCGTGGTAGTGGAGGTAGTAGTAGCAATGGTAGTTGTAGCAGGAGTGGCAGCAGTAGTAGTAGTAGTAGTCGTCGTCGTCTTTGTAGCAGTAGCAGCAGCAGTAGCAGCAATAGTAGCAGTAGCAGTAGCAATAGTAGTCGTTTCCCCGTTTCCCCCTAATCTCAAACGGGAGGGGGCCCCGCCTCTCCAATACAAACTCAGAAAGATTGTTCATTATTAGGGGGTGTTGTTTATCTCTACTGCCGCTTTTGAGGGGTTGTGCTCTTGCTCCTGGTTTGGCTCTTGCTCCCGCGCTGGCTTTTGCTCCTGCTTCTGCTGCGTCTCGTGCGCCTGCTCCTGCTTTTTGCTTTGCTCTTGCTGCTGCTCTTGCTCTTGCTCTTGCTCTCACTCTAAGGGTATTTGAAGCCTCGAAACCCTCCGCCTAATTCAGAATTGGTTTTAGAGGGTGCAGGGATTCCCGGGATGATTTCGGGAGGATTTGCCCCAATGTGCTATTTTATTTCTCGGGGGGTATTTAGCTAAAGGGGAGCGATTACTATTACTATTTCATTATTGTTATGATTATTATTATTATTAGTAGTAGTAGTAGCAGTAGTAGTAGTAGTAGCAGCAGCAGCAGCAGCGGCAGCAGCAGTAAGTAGGTAGTAGTGGTAGTGTTGTTGGTGTTCTTGTTTCCGTAGTTGTAGTGCCAGACCTAGTGCTAGTCCCAGTGGAAGTGGTAGGAATTGTCGTCGTTTGTAGTAGTTGTCGCCGTCATTGAGCGGAAGGAGTAGCAGAAGAAGTGCCAGTGACTACTAGTGGCCGTAGTACTTGCAGCAGTTAGCTATGCCGGCATTTTGTGGCAGGAAGACCGGCACACCATAAGGTGGACGCGCATAGAGCTATTTTTATGAAGCGCCGGCATTTGCATCGTCGGAGCTTTGGTCGTGGGTTCAATATGGTAAGCCGGAGAAGTGTGAGTCAACAAGGCAGAAAATGGTGACAATTTCTGGTTCCAATATTCGAAGACGTCTGGACCTTGTGAAGAGTCGCGAGGTGGTGCGCTTCAGCGAGCGCCGATCTTGGCCATTTGCAAGCTATCTTGTGGCTGCGTGTTCATCTTGTGCGCTTCTGTATCGCCTTTGCAAACTGTCCTACACTGTCCGTCTATTTATTGTACCTCTCCCCAGGCGGCCACGGCTCTTGGTGCAGGGACCCCGTACCAGTTATGCTTCGAACCATAGAACATTGACTATTGCGGGCACGTCAAGCTCTATGTAGATCAGAAGCAGCGCAGCAGTGCTGTTGAGACTTGTGAACCTCACGCACAGCTTGTGCACTTTGAACCTGAAAGAATGTCGGGACAAGAGTGGCCTCGCGAGGTGCGTACGATGCGGAACGCACGTCCTCGCTTGAGAAGGTGGGCGAATGTAAACCTCCGCAATAAGAGGCGCTGATCTGCAACACATGATCAGGCCCGGCTCTTCCTTCCAAAAGCAACCGAAACTGCTCTAGGTCACACCCCGTAGCTGTACACTAGGCTGGGCGCTACCACTTAGCGAAACTCTTGTAGCGCCAGGCCTGGTGCAATCGCGCTTCGCGGTTGAACTTCAGCAGCTGCACCGCAATGCGAAGAGCTTCAGGGAGAGGACTTGTTTGGAGGACTAGGCCTGCATGCTTGAGCTTTATGCAGAACGTGCACGCTGCGGCTTACATTTTCGCAGCATGTTCATTTATCGAGTGTGCAACCACGAGATGTCGTCTGCACAGTCGCCTCACCTGGGCGGTTGAACCCAGGCATGAACGGAGTGAATTACAACGTCGACTACGAGCTCATGGTGCAGGTGAGTGGGTTACCGTAGGCGTCGCCAAGGCTTAGGCCTCGCGCATATTCCAACAGCTCTGTCCTTAAGCAGCAGCTTCAGACCCGTGCTGTGACAGGACAAGAGCGGGATGTTGGGAGGGGGAGCGATGTTCACATTCTGCAAACGTTTTCGGCGTGGGCTCTCGTCACTTTTGCACAGTGTAAGCTGACAGCTACATGTTAAACACCACCTGTGATCTAATCACGATGCTTTGGCTGTCAGGTCAACTGCGAGACAAGATATCGCAGACTTGTCCGTCGACGCCCTGCATGAGATAGTTCTGACAGTTCTAGCATGGCATTTGCCGACGCGGATGCCACGGAAAAGCCAAGTGGACCACCTGTGCTTGTGTGTTCTGGTGTGGAGACATACCCAGCCGAAAGGGGATTGCATACCAAAGTCCGATCATGAGCCGCCAGAGCCGAAGGGAAGGAAGCGTGCCCAAATCAGTCTTCATGGATCACACATGAGCTCGCCAATGCAGCGAACAAAGCTAGACGCACATGCTGATCCTTTTTCTACTATGGGACGATATGCTCGTATGCAGCATGCTGATTCAAGCTTGTCGTGGACCGAAAGTAGTCGATGTGCAGTGTACAGCGAGAGTTCGATGACTCCAGCGGCCGCTGCTGCAGAGTTCCACGCTCCTTCCAAAGAGGAGCGGGCAGCCGGGCGTGCCTTGTGCCCTGAGCTGAGAAGCAGCACGGGCGGGATGGGAGGATAGATTGCTACGAGGGGCAATTGCTCTGAGAACTTAGGTGGAGGATTGCTCTGGCCACCAAAGGCCGACCCCGAACGTTGCCTCGCAAATTGCTGTCGTGGTTTGGTTTTTTTTTAAATTTATGTTAGGCCCCTGGGCTTCCGGCTCTATGCCCTGGACTCCCCGAAGCAGTGCCCCCGGCACTGGCGCTAGCCTTGCAGCGCCACTTGGGCTGGCACCGCGCGAGCGGAGTTCAGAGCGCAGGTCGCAGGCAGCCTGCAAGTCGTACGTGAGACGCTGACAGCTCAACCCTGACACACGGGACCAATCGTGTTATTGCACCCAGCCGTGTTCCTTAGCTGGACAACTGATGTCAAACAACCGGTGCGGACAAAGACCTCACCTTTCTACCACATCATCGCAGCCTAGGTGGTCTGCCGGACGTTTTGTTGTACAGATGTTTCCCGCTCCTTGTGCGGGCGAAGCAGATCGAAGACAAGGCTATGGACCTTTTGAAGACATGTCCTATCTACATTCGTTCAGCAAGACTCCTGTGATGTTAACTCCCTCTGCGCTTGCGGCGATTTGTGTGAGGATGAGAAGGAGGCCCAGCGTGCATACGCGCCGGTGCTGGTAAAACTCAAGGCCATGGGCTTCTTGGTGCACGATTCACTTCTTCTGCCTGCAGCTTGACTACAAAAACACCACTCCATGCAGCCCTTCCTCGAGCCTTTTCTCCGCGACGCGTGCCCAAGGCAGATGCAGCGGGCCAGCGCAAGCTCTTGCTGTGGCTCGGTCTGGAAGGGGTTTTCTTTTCCTTTTAGCATCCAGGAGCTCTGAACATTGAACACCTTGGAGCCGGCCGCGTACACGCCTTGCATCGCCTTGCCTTTCCGACTATGCAACACCACTGCGGCCCATACTAAGGACTAATGTGATAGGTCCTATCAGCACCCGTACATGCCAGGCTGGTGCAGCCATCAGAGCCCTTGAAGATTGTGACTTGGCCGGAAATATCTGCGGACCATCCTAGGATGCTCGTCTGCCAAAAAGCGGAAGAGACGCTGGGAGCGGCAGGCGCAGCTGGCGAAAGCAGCCCGCAGCCTCGATGGGCCGAACCTCTCCGTGTCGCTGCAACCCCACGTACCGCCGGTCCTCAACATCAAGGACGAGGCGAGGAGCGATTTCGCCGCAGTCGTCTTGGGCCCTGCCAATTGACCTGTTACGAGTACGAATTTCTTCTGCTTCCGAAGCACAGGCCTCCCGCCAACTCCACGTCGATCACTGGCGCCAAGTCTACCTCGACTGCATGAAGTTCTTTCCACGGTCGCGTGGACTGATATCGTGTGTTGGCACGCGAGTACAGGTCTTGGGATCTGCCTGAAGTTTGTCATTTCATTTTTGCCCCACAGTGCTCTTGGCGAGGTTCTTCCAGCCTCGCACGCGCGTGCTTGCAGTGCCACCGTCAACTGAACAGGAGGCAAGCGCAGAGACCCGTGTTTTCCAACCGAGCTGTCATGCAGTGTGTATTCCCGTTTCCTTGTCCGGGAAGTGGGGGGGAAGGTAGAGGATCTTTCCTGCCACCTCCTGTTGCACGGCTTTGCAGTGCTTTGCATTGTCGGGGCCTCTTTGGACGTTTCACTGACTTGCAGTTGGCAAAGAACAAGCACAAGTGTCTGTACGTTGATGATTTGCTCTCTGAGTCAGCAGCCCATCCCACCGCTAGAGTTGCCTGCCACGCAGCATATAAGGTCGGCAGAGACTTGGCAATTGTAAACGCTTCGCGTCGTCCGACTCGGCCCGGTGCAGGTGAGGTGGTCTCCACCAGGGCCCAATTAATTAGCAGGTTCAGAGTGCACAAGAAATGGGGGGAGGGGGTGTCGTCAGGCTAAAAAGAGGGGGGCACCGCGAAGGGGATTAAGCAAGCGGAGGAGAAAGCGGTTTTCGCAAGGGGAAAAGGGGAGCTCTGACCGCTTCGGCAAGGGCTGAGGTGTCAGCAGTGCGCAGATCATCTAACATGCGCGGCTCGCGAGCCATGCCAATTCGGCACCGAGCCCCGGTGCTGGATAACTTCATACAGTTTCAGTCGCGGCTTGCCGAGGTCCACCCCACGTCAGAGAAGACACCGAAGGTCGATGCGTGCATCGTTGTGCGTGGGATCGGCATGCTACCAGCCGAAGGCTCAGCCGGAATTCATTTAGTCGATCGAATGTGGACTCAAGTTACTCATGCACGAAAATCAAACGATGTTCGTAGGGCTTTTGGTGTTGGTGGGCGGAGACGCTTCAAGGGCTCTGTTTACCGCGGAACAAGACTTGTACTAGCCAGAATTTTCTCAAGCGGCTGGGATCTGGCAATTGGCGGTGGCTTGCTGCACCAGTGTCCCGAATGTCTCATAAGACAAAACTCCTCGAAAGCTCTGCTCGATTCTGCAAGGTGCCGGAGGAGAGTTCGGTGCAAGGCCCAATCCGGAGCATTTCGTGGGACGAAGTACCCTGTAGCAGGCTTTGGCAGATTCGTTTGCGACGAGCATTGTATGTCCAGTGGCTCAGCACGGCAAGCCAGTTCCAAGCCAGATCTGGGTCCTTGTTGATTTCGATTACATGACCTGTTTGGCCGCGTGAGTTTTCTATCGGACGTGTGTTGATATGAGAGTTCGTTATTCGAGAACTTGACTTATGTTCCACATATCGGAACTTTGAATTGAAGAGTCTTTCTCAGGAGGAGCACGGATTTTCCGTTCCTGAAGTCGAATTGCAGGATTTACTAGCATAACATCTAGATTCCATCGGAAAGCAAAGCATGTCAGGGTCCATCGTTCTAGCAAGGGTTCGGCCATGATGGGGACTGCGGAGGATGCAGTTTCTGTCATCGAGGAAAATTTCGAGGATGTCCCGAGAACCACTGTAGCCGAACATGATGTGTCGTGACTTGCAGCACACACACCGAATCACTCTTTACTTCTATATTCGGCTGGCCGCCATGACATGCAGTTCCGAGCCCTACTCTAGTCTCCGAAGACCAGCCTTCTAGTTTGCAAGCTCAAACCTGCGAATTTGAATGCGCTCCTTATTGTCAGGCAGCTCTTGCTACCTGGGGCTGCCGCCGAGCACTAAGTCGCCACTGCCCCAGCCTTGCAAGCGAGGCTTCCCCAACCTGCGGGTGGGCCCGAGCAACCTTGAGATACTTTCAGAGACAAGGACGATCTTGATGATTCGGCTGCAGTTCATGGGCGCGATGTTTTTACTGTTGTCGGCGCAGGCTTTGTGAGCATAACGGCCGGACGTGACCGGACGCTCAGACATTCAATAGATGGCTCGGTTTGCGCCAGCACTGGACCGAGGGGATGCTGAGCAGGTGTCGTCTTACGCTCCACCTTTTGGCTCAGGGCAGATCAGGTCGGTGCCCCATCGGTTCGGGTGCTCCGCTCCGGGTCTCCATGTAAGGCGGGGGCTCCTCAAGACTCGGCACGACGCCATATGCAACATCAGGCACAAAGTCTGCATCATCCTGAAAACTGAAGTCATGTGTCGATCCCACGTGCATGGTTGGCAGCTGCTGTGTCCCTGCAGACTGCAATTTTGATAGCAGGCTGTGCTGAACGCACCTGGGTAGGCCGCGGCTACACGGAAGACTAGTGTAGCCCAAAAGACCAGACAGCTTTTTCGTACTGGAAGGTGGCATGAAGTGGCCACTACTGTCGTGGCTCCTTTGCGTGGGTGCTGCCTTGCCGAGGCTTCGGACATAGGCATCAAGGCAGGTAAGCAGGTACATGCAGGTATTTTGCTTTACCGTCAGTATTCGTGGAAAATATACTCCTGAACGTGTATCCCAAAGGCGCCTTGCATGTCACTTGGTGACACGACAGTTTTCAGCATTGTTTGCTACCTGCGAAGACCCGCTCGACCTGATGTTGTAGAACTTGCTGTTGCACCTCTGACTAATCTGGATGACTTCCACCTCCAGGAATTCTGTTGGCACGTTGGATGGGCATCCAGTTTTGGACTTCTTCCAACAAAAGCACACGCACCTTCGACAGCATCTTCAAAGCTCAGTTTCAAGATGCAAATTGCTATCATGAAACATCTTGTTGGCCATCGACTAGATTGCAGCATTTGAGAAGAAGAGCATGCTTATGCTGATGCTTGGCGTGCTTGCGGTCTTTCACGGCATGCAGTTTTCATCAGCGATCACAAGCAAGGTCGTCGCACACCGTCTTCCGCGGCCCCACGGCATTTAACTGCAAACGAAAGCGACAAGTGGGTCGAAGTTTCCGGTAGTATGCTGTGACTTGAGTATGGGTTTGGTGAGATCACAAAGCATGTTGCAGAACAGCGGTGCTGTGTGCAAGAGTTTGGAAACGAAGGAGATGCTGAAACTTCGATTTCTTAAGAGTCTCGAAGTGGCAGTAGAACAAAAAGCCGGCCGGCTGTTTGGAACGATTGTGGCCGGTGGAGTCAGGCATCCCGAGAGGACCACCTTCAGGAGGTCGGAGTTGGACGTACGCTCCGACACATGTGAGGCGGTGAGGGCAGGTTGGATATGGAACTGCCGCAACGCACCGGCAGACTTCTGTGTCCGTCCGTGCGTAATCGAGAGCGCGGGACCAGCCATCATCTCAAAGATGTAGCAAATGGAACAAATGCGGGGGCGTTGCACAATCGCTTTGTGCCGAGGTGTCGATACGAGCCACGGCTTTTGCAGAGACCGCATAGAGCTGGGCAGCGGTTCGGGATCATTGGGAGACCTGGTTGTGTCAGGCTTGTCCAACTCCGACCCGTTACAGTGACACACCTACTTCTGCCATGTGTCACAGGTGCTCGCAAGAAGCTATTTATACTCATGGTGGTCCAAACCAATATGCGGAAGATGTCAACACTGTCAACACTGGCATTCTCGTTTTTTCCAAGGGTGCCAGTTTTGGTCCAGCAAGACGAAAGATCGCAGTTGGCGATTTTGGGCCCGCAGATGCCACACCAACCGGCAAACGCCGCACAGCGCCACAATCTACGGTTGATGCATCACCTGTAGTGACCCTAATTGCAGACACACCTTGCAGTTTCCGGCAGCTTCGCAGCGCCAGTCGGATCTCGCAGCGAGTTGGGAACCCTTCAACCCAACCTTTTGAGACTTGAAGAACTTGAAGAAAGTTGCCCCCGCCACCTTCGGATTTGGAACTTCTCAGCGTGGCGGTGCGGTGGCGCACAAGACAGAATAGCAGGGTTGCAGAAAGCGTCTCCGGGTCACTGCAGGTGGACTTGTAACACGCAGTGTCCCTTTACAGGGAGATTGCTGGTGTGGACTTGAAGCCGACACCCTGGAACCAAACCCACAACCAGACACTTTGGATCCTTCGTCCTGCCGCCTTTGAGCGTGGCAGCCGAGGAGATGGAGTGGCATCCTTCATTGAAGCCAACTTTGATGAGAGCATCGCCTTGCAGGACCCGGTTCGTTGCAAGCCCGGGACCCTCGAACGCGAGCCTTCGATTTCAGTAGCGTGGGTACTGATCAAACGGTATCACTGGTGTGTGTGTGTGCGAGTGCGCTTGTCTTTAGACATCGAAACATCACATCTTTGCCGTGTGAGGCCCCGGGAAACCACACGGCACATGCGCACCACAACTCCAGCAGCCCGGCCGGAAGCTTCCACGAGCCTTGCACATTACGTGGGGACTCGAATCGAAGTTCGCGGCGCCGAGATCGACCAGAAAGTTTCGGCCAGTCGCTCTGAAGTATGCAATTCAGAAGTCTTGGGGGGCGGCTGCTGCTTCAAGGCTGAGTTAAAGAATCTGCTTGCCGCAGCTTGAAGTTTCGATCATCCGAGCCCTTTCCGTTCCTGAGAGACTGCAGTCTGAAAACATGCTCCAGCCACAAACCCGATGTCCGAGGCAAAAAGTTGCTGAACACCCCGCAGAAGGAGCGCTGCACATCATGGGTTCAGGTGTGCATCAAAGGCTACAGTCGCACCTGCAAAGCAAGAGCTACTCCTTTCAAATTGGCCGAAGGGGGTGCTTCCCTCTACAGAAGGAGCATGACAAGATGTTTGTCCTCTCGCACTTCTGGCTGCCGAGCCTCGGCTTGCGACTTGTGTCGTTGACTGCACATCATTCAAAAACGAAACACACTTGCCATCATTGAGCGCTCGAAGGATATCGGACAGCGTTCCTTGCCGCAGACGTCATAGGTTTTCAAGACAGTCCTCGGCACCAAGCGGAAACTAATTGACTGGACCAGCCTCTGAGGATATTGCTGGTATCATCGCTGCTATTCGAGGCCAGTGCTGGCATGGGCTACTCTCGCTCCAGAACCGAAACTTGTACGTAAGCTCTCCAGCCGGTCCATTTGCACATCAGCCTCGCTGATCAGCACCAGCAGAGACTGATGAGGTTTGGGCTAACCGATGCCGCCACAAAAGCAGATGGCACATCCATTGGTCCCAACCCGAGGGCCGGTTGACAGCACAGGACCGTTTGCAGCTTCAAAAGCCGGTTAGATGACAAAGTAGATACTGTACAAGTCCCCTGTCCCCCCTCCCAGATGGTCTGGCTGGGGGAACCTGCCCTGCACGATCCGGCAGTGATGTAAGATAAACACAGCCCAAGGTGCCCAGTGGCTGTTTGCCGTAGTATAGCCTTGTCACGAGACATGAGCATCTAACCCAAGATGCTTCGTCATAAAGCTCGCTCTGTCCCTGAAGCCCCGAAGATGCTGCATTGCACAGGCGCTCCACCTCAAGTGGTCGGAGGTGGATTGGTCCCGCAGTGCGCAAAGAACGGACGCGTCTGAAGGCAACTTGACTTTGGCAGTGAGGTGTGAGTGGCATCATCGAGTGCACATGGGGTAGAGGTAGATTTTTGCATTAAGGACACGTGATAGATTTCCCAAAGAAGGACACCTTATGCCAAACCCCAAGAGAGCCGTCAATGCAGCTCTCCAGTGCCTGTATAGTGCATGGAATCGAAGAAATTTCTTGAACTGAGGGACAGAGGAGCACGTGGATACGAGTTTCGCGGGCCTCACTGTGAAGCTGGTTCGAAGGGCGGACAGCCTGGCGAGGATCTACTTCGCCGGGGACTCGGAATTCTCAGCTGGGCCTCTTAGTCTTCAGACACCGTGTGCAAGAACCGATTCGTTGCTTGGCCCTGGCATGATCTGGCATGAGCCTCAAACCCACCACGAAATCAGTTATCTCAAACGGTCCTTCGAGACAAGGAGGGGGCCGGTCGAGTCAAGGGCCGATCCTACATGATGACGCTTGCCCTGCCGGTGCCAGAGTTCTGGGATGTTCTGGGTGCAGGGGTTGCAGCCTAACACTTCCCAGAGGTGCAAAATTTTGAGCCCGTCTTGTCTTGGTTTGGTCCCCAGCAGCCAAAGCAAAGTTTCGGATTCGTGAAGAAGCGCGTTAAGCATGAGGTTTGGTTTGGCATTGCTAGCGACTTTTGCCTCGGGCGTATTGGACTTCAAGGGCTTCGGCTGCTTTTCCGCAATGTTCGCTAGGAGCTTGCACGAGAGGGAATTCTTTCACAACTCCCTGGACACATCTCGAGAAGCATTCAAGAACTCCACGGACTCCGCCAAGCATCCAGCATCCTGCTGAATTGCGTTCATTAGGCCGTCAGCGTCCCGGTGTGAAGGAAACACACACGGTCGGATTCAGCAGTCCAAGGGATGGCTGCCAGCTCCCCTAAAGGCCCTGATCCGACAGTCGGGGTGCAGGAAGAAGTGATTTCGAGGCATTGTGCCTATGGGTAGATGTTGACGCGATGCCGAGCGAAGCAACCTCTTGATAATACATGATAATACAGCTCTGAATGGTTCTTGAGCTCTAGCAGAAGGGCTTCGAGGCACATCGGGCTCCTTCACCATGTTCTCCATGAAGGTGTTATAACAGCAAGCCTAGACACGTCATGGGCCAAATCAAACTTCGAACACGCAAGCCGCTGCGTGTACCACTGAAGTTGCTTCGAAGGATGCTGGTGTGCCACAGCCTCTTCGGCCAGTATCTCAGCCTTGCACCCTGACCGCATGTTTCAGATTCAGCATAGTGAATTCGTCCGAGTTGGATGTTTGTGCTCGAACTTGTTGCTCGACTTGATCTCCTCTAGAACTGCACGAGCCGTTCCGCAAGGGACCGGGCAGAATCAGAGGGCTGTAAGGAAGATATGCACTGCAGCGTTTGGGCGACAAGAAGAGGCAAGAGACTGCTGAGCGCCGCACTGTTCATGTTACTCCAGGTCAATTTCGACTACATGAGCCGGCTCTTCGATTTTTACCAGCATCCCAGCCAAGCCGTCTTCGTGGCGTTGATGAGCAACTGGTTTGTTCTGTCGCTTGTCCTGCAGCATATCAACCAACGGGCCATGAATCCTACCTACTACGCTGCCCGACTTGTTGTTTACGTCTATGTCCACCATCAAGACACAGGCACGTATGCAGCTGTCTCGTGCACGATATCCAACCGCAATCGAGCTGCCATGCTTGCAACCGAAGATAGCCGAATTTGTTCAGATTCATTGACAGGCAGGACGGAGCACAACACTCCATGCCTGATCATGCCTGATGCGCTGCGAAAAGGGAACCATGCTCGGTGTGTCAGCAGGGGTGTTACCCCCACGCCGCTGTACTCCTGGGGATTGGGGCATCACTTGATGAGTGGGTTCCTGTGTTCCCGACAGGTGATGTCAAGCAACAAAAAAGTATTCTACTGTTGATCCCAATGGAGTAAGCCCCGGTGTGGAGGAACACAGGCATGTGTGCCCGTAGATCCATGCACCTGTCTCATTTCCTGCTTCCGGACACTGTAAATATGCACATCTTCTCGTGCCGTCCTCCTCCGCGGATTCATTCAAATTGCTGCTGCGAAGGTATGGAAGCATGTGCCTGACGGCTACTAAGTTGCAGAGATTCATGAGACATCCCAGCTAAGCGTGTGAAGTTGCAGCCTTGACGGGGGGTTTATGCAAGCGTGCGAGAGAGAGCAGTGAACACGCAATTCAGTGGAGACCTCCCAAAATTCCCACGCTGTGTGCACGGGAAGAGTTCCAGGCAGTGTACTCCCAGTACATTGAGAGCATGCTCTTCATCCACTGGAAAGACCACATGACCCGATACTTCGAGCGGATTTGGGCGCTTGGCCTACATCGGTTCATGATGTCAGTCAAACCGGCGAGTGTCCGCAAAAAGTCTTGGGAAGTCTAGAAGCGAAGCCGTCACCATTCAGGTGCCGCACAGCTACGGCTTCAAGATGAAAGATGCTACTCGATCAATCATTCCGATAGGCTTTCAGAATTCCATGCATGCGCAGCATCAGTAGTGGCCTTTGGCAAATGCATCTGCCTCTTCCCACCCACACTTAATACATAGCTAGATAAGATTCAATTCGAAGCTGCCTTGGGTCACAGTTACGGCTCGCTGCACACTTGTGGTGCACGCCCCTCGGAACTTTGCCATGGCACTGTCAGGACAGCCGAGTGGATAACCCGGACCAGCGAATCCAGGAGGACCTGCAATACCTGCTTGTCTCGATTAAACCTGTGCGATCTTTCTGTGGATTGCTTCGTCCTCGAGGAGGCGTGAGTAGACGAAATGTCAACCAGGACATTGGCAGTTTTGTGCCTTCCACATACGACTTGACCATGGGAGCTGCTTGGAGGGTGGATGAGTGTGGACTTCACTTCGAACAGCATTGGTTTGGTCGCTCTGGTTTGATTCTTGCCGGCGTTCGGCCCAGCAAGCCAAGGTCCTAGATGCCACTTTGCAGCTGAGCATTTACAGCTCCGCGGGTGACATTCATTAAGTCAGGACAAGGTGTATCTGATAATGTTGGCGTCCTTCTGAATTCCTGGCTTCAGGGAACTAATTCTTCGTGACGGGAAAGTTGGCTTTGTCTACAAGCAAGTTTCGCTCGCCGGTTGAAGATGCATCCTGATTCAGGGCCAGAGTTTCAAGACGTTGCCCTTGAGCATCGAAGGCATCATGCTCATCCAGGTCCAGCCGAAATCAGCTTTTCCTGGGCTTCTGCTTCTTGGCCGAAACAAAGTCACAGCAGACCTAAGCCTGGATGAGGTGCCTGCGCACATGCGACTCCAGCTTTGCTGCTGCAAATGGCAACCATAGGCATTGCGAGATCGCACTCGGCATGCACGGAGTCTAGCAAACATGTTCGCGGTAGTATTGGCAGGTGCCTCGGTGGGGAACTGCATCATAGCAGTATTTCCAGCACACTGTCGTTGTGTCAGCCCTATCAGGTTTGGAATTGCCATCCTTTACACACTCATCGGCTCCGTGCCTGGGACTATCAGACTATCATGTCTGCCTTTTTTGTTGATCCGTTTTTTTTCAGGGACTTCGGCACAATCAAGAGCCTGTCATATTCCACCCCTGCCGTGTCACTCGACCCCGAGACTCTGGCCTCTGACCAGCACACGGCTCAAGGCATTGGATGGTGGGGTCCTCGGCTTGTAGCCCTCACCGCATACTCTGGCTAAATCTCGCTCTCCTCGTCCGATTTGAGAACAAACCGAGAAACCTTTGACTCGTCGAAGCCTTAAACAATGAAGGTTCAACTGCATTCTCCAGACCCAGGCAGCAGGCATCATCCTCCAAAGAAAGGATGCAGCTATGTCCGGAAAAATGCCCCCTACCACTCTCACTGGAGCCTTGCTGGTAGTCTCCTGTGACACTCGATCATCTTTCTATGCAGGTAGCCGTGCACTGGATCGGTCGAGACCTTGCGTTCCTATCTTGGCAAGGCGAGCGATATGGAGGCTCCGCTCCTGAACGGGGCTGCAGTGGTATTGTAACGCTTCGGGCATCCTCGCGTGGGGAGTTGCTTGGGCATGGGGGCTTTGCAAAGGTTTCGGTCTTGACAGCGGTTAAACGGACTTGTGCCTTGCATAGCGTGAGACTTCGTGTCCTCAAGGCCTCTATGGGCTTGAACAACTCAGAGCTCCTGGCTCCTCAACCGTTGCAGTGTTCACATCGGGCGGGGAGGCCACTTCCGTGCGGAGCTCCGGCGCGTGCATGACCAGAGTGGCGTGGACGACTTGAGGTTAGGGCTGCCGCTCATGAAACCTTGTTGTCGAACCTATGGACTATATGACTATATGTGTCACAGACAACAAGACGAGACGAGAATGCGAGAACGTCGTGATCGAAGTCACCGTGGCCCGAGGTGAGACGGTGGCCGCCCTGCGATCTCATGAGGCTGAACTTCAGCGCCTCGAGCAACGCTTCGAAGCCATGAAGCGGCGTGGCCTTTGTTAGCGGAGTCTGTGCCATCGTTTGGCGAGTTTTGGCGAAGCAGTGGCAATCCAATGTTTTTGGTATGACTAGTAGACCCAAGCGGCCTCGGTGAGCCTCTGGCACAGGTGGAATAAGTGGCAGGGCATGATCTTGAAGCACCCCGGCTGATGCTGACGTTGTGTCTTGATCTTGGGGCTACAAGTGCAGACTTGAAGCCAGAGAAGTGTGCAGTGTGTGAGAATCGAGGAAGCGTCTCGGATGGTTCGATCGGATCTACGACCCGTTCAAATCTGTCCTGTTTGTGTGCGTCTTGATGCCGTTCTTCATCAAAGGAGAGGCTGGACCCCTGCGTAGAATCACAGAAGCCGTAAAACCTAGACATTGGAGACAAATTTGTTACATTAGTGGCATGACAAGCCTCAACTGACAGTCATGCGACCCAAACTGGACTGAGCCGGGCTGCCAGGTGTCCCTAGGCACTGTGAAGCAGTGTGAGATGGCTTTGTCGCGTATTACTGCTTCCCTCGGTGACTTGCCAGGAACAGTCATGTAAGTTCAGAGCATTTAGGGGCCAGCGGGCGCATCCTCCGGTCGACATTAAAGCTTGTCCCAACACGAATCATGCGGTCATAACCTTCGGGATATGAGTTGGATATAGTCGAAACGTGTAGCCGTGTAGCTATGCAGGTCCATGCCATCAATCCTTGCCATCGGCATCCTTACAAAAACTCACTCAACACTAGCGTGCATTGCAACCTGGCTCCAGCTAAATGTCGACATGGTGCATGTCCCGTCACAGCTATGCAGAAATTTCCTCGTAGCCTCGGACCTTTCCTGCCGCCTGCTGACTTGTCCCAGGTTTCTTCATCCACGAGTACAAGCACCTGGCTTCCTACAGGGCTCAAGTGGATCGTTTGCTGCTTGCTTGTAATTGCGGCAGAAGAGGTGGCTTGGTCACCCTGTCGGACCGGAGGTTTCGAGCACCGATTAGGTCCAAGAGCCAGGCTGGTTGCAATTGCGTAAATGAGCTGTCGGAAGGTACAACTTTCGCTGCTGTGGTCTTGCATTCATGCAGGACCACGCCAAGGCTTTGCATGTTTCTGTGTGATTTTTCAGGGGTATCCGTCAAGCATCGGCAGCCAACACCAGCGAGCAAGTGCTTGATGAATCCCGGTTTCTGAAGAGAACACTCTAGAGCGAAGAAACAAGACTGAAAAACATGTTAACATTTGAACCTCAGAAACATGCAGGTCGTACTGCTCCAGATGTAAGCACCTGTGAGACCTGCATGTGGCAGCCTTTTGTGACGCAGGAGAAGGCGGGCACGACTTCCGACTCTCCAGGTGAGAGACATGAGAGACCTGGTGGAAATGGAGTCATGGACTTAGGTGCGGCAGTGACCACGATTTCATCGGGATGTGGGACTGGGGGTCCAAGGCTGCCGAAGAAGAGCTCGATTTGGAGGTGCCATGTTGCTTCGTTTCCACTCGGTTTACGGTGCAGGGATTGCGGGAGCATGTCTTCCTGCAGTCACCAAGTTCCGGTTGCAAAAAAGGGATTGCGGAGGAGGAGGTGCCGCCGGAAATGGCACATGTTTCGTTCAGCAGGTGTTTTCAGAGGGCACTCGCTTGACCTTGCACACCAGCGGTCCGTGCCAATCTCTTCTGAATGCATTCTTTGCTGCTAGAATCAGGTAGAATGCAGCCATGCGGCACCCACAATGCTCACATCGACATCTTAATGATGCCGTTCCGGAAAAGAGACTTGGACGACATGCTCGAACGACTAGGCTGTTGCACTCGCAGAGGCAGATGCGATTGCAGATCGAGGGGGCTCGCAAAAGCATTTTCGCCCCTCAATTCGCGAGGCAATAGCAGAGCAAAGCACACCTATCGGACTTGGAACCTTGTCACACAGAGCAAGAACCAGCTCACGTCGGACCGCTTCGAAGAAGAGCCGAGTCGATAAGCGCAGAAACAAGGCGACACTCCTTCAACAGAACACCGGTGTTAAGCACCACGTTGTTTTGTAGAGCTCTGTGGAGCAGAAGGAAAGCCCAAAGGGGCTGGGTCCGTGCCGCACTCAGGCACTCAGGCTCAGTCCGGAAGGTTCCATTAGCGGACTTTCCAATCTAAACCTGAACCCTTTGCACTAGCAGACGCCCTAAACTTGCATTTGCCGCTACTGTTACATGTAGGTGGATGCATCGCTTCGACAGCACCTTTCCACTGGCGAAGCTGTCCCGGCTCCGCCAGCACGGACGGCGGAGGCAAGGGTGCAGATCTTGAAGTGTATTACAGTATTACACCAAGAACGTACGATGAGGCAAGGCTTTCGAGGTGACGAGGCGGGGGTATGCTTATGGCTTATGCTTCAAGACACGTATTTCAGGATCGGCGAGGTGCCGAAGCAGTCTTGAAATGTTTTGAGCGCTTGGCTTCTGTTGGACACACAGCCGACGAGAAGTCCGAACAAGCGCTCACCCTCGGCTGAGGTTCTGGAGCTAAGAAGAGCTCGGGTCAGTTTGCCCTCGGGAGAAGTGTTGATGGAAGCTGACTTCCGTGCGGCTTGGGCTTCAGCTTCTTAGCGTTGTGGTGTAGGGCATCCTGAAGCAGTCGACCTTCGTAGCAGGCGGAAAGAGCCGTTGATGAGATAGGATTCTGAGATATTGGGCATTATTGGGCTCCAAGTCCAGGGGGTCTGGAATTGGTTCTGAAAGCACACACGCTCTCGCCAACAGTCCACTGCTTTTTGATGCCCCCCTTACGCACCTCGCGCTAGGCAGGACGGCCTTTCGAAGATGACCCCAAAACCTATCCGGCGTTCCACATGAAGGATTAGAGGTCCGACATGTTCCGACCATTCTTGCCACTGCACATCTTTGTTGATATGACTATGGGTGATGAACTATTTGTTACCTACTGCTACCACACCTGGTTTGCTGCTGTTACGCTGTATCAGCTTCCGCCCGAAGTATCGAGGTGAGCAAAGGCACCAGCGTGCTCCTTTGTGGCGGCGAGGGGTCGGGCAAGTCAACCTTCCTACGGGCACTGGCAGGCGTGCTCTTCCAGTGTGCTTTTTGTTTGGGAGCGTGTGGGCTTGATGTAGAAAATTGTTCGTTGCTCTTCTAGATTCAGTTTTTGCTATCCGAATCTAGCCTGTGTTCACACTGTGAGCACCCTGGCACGTAAACATGTCATCCGAGTCACCTACGTCACCTAAGTTTAGCCACTATGCGGACCCACCTCAGCCGAATCAGCAGCTGTGTGGCCCCAAGCACCCCAAACCATCGAAATCCGAATTCCTATTGTGAACCGAACCAGCGGCTTCCGAATACGCATAGACAGTTTTGTTTTGCAATAGGACCTAGAGCAATGAACTAATGATACAAGAACCATTTGGAAATCTATAGTTGTATATTTTGATGAGGAAACTAGCTGTGCGAGATGTCAGATGTCCTGCCGGGGGGGCCCCTGCCGTCTGCAGAGCAAACTGTTGCGAATCAGGGCCTCGGGGAAGGCTGAGTGGACCTCGGGAAACAAGAAAGCCACTGAAACAGGGACAGGTACCCTTAACTTTGGTCAGTTCGGGTCGTTTTGAGTCGATTTGAGGTCCATCATAATTACGCGTTCTTTTGCTAGCCGCGGGAAGGGGTCTTCCTGCACTGCCCAAGCCACCAAACAGTTTGGGAAGCTGGCTAGTGCTAGTGCCGATCTGTCCTTTTGCTTTCGAAACGCAGGGCAACTCCTTCCACAACCAACGACCATGAACTTGACAATAATGACACAAACCCGGAAAAAGCGTGTCGTGCAAGCACAAGCAGAATCCGGGTGCAACCGAACAACAGCCGGTCGTGAAAGCCTCTTCAGGAATTTGGCCTTTCACTTCGGCCGAGGAGGCCTCAGCGCCTCTGAGCCCTCAGCTGCACAGGGCCAATGTTCGATGAGAGTTTCTGAGGAGAAAGAAGAGCTAGCGGGCCGATGGGGTGTTTTAGCTTCTCTCAGACTTCTCTCTCTCTCTCTCTCTCTCTCCAAATCGAACAAACTCTAAACTCACATCCCGGGTTCCGTGGTGAATCGAGGATCTCGACCGCATCTTTCCGGCTAAAGCAGAAACCAGGAACCCAAAATCTGACCGAAGCACCGCTGACCTGAGGACTTCAACCGATTGCTTCTTAATTCCACAGAAGCCGAGGCCGACTGAAGCTTGGTGCCTGACAGTTGTCTACTGAAGATGTAGGGCCGACGGCAACGGTTTAGTCGATGCCTGTGTGCCTGAAGATGCGAAAGGGATGCAAGCATGCAGCCACTTCGTTCGTTCGCTGTGGACTCGGGAGCCTGTCGGTATTTCAGATGAAGGCGGAGGTACAGACAAGCACGGTCCGAGATAGCGTATGAATGAAGCAGGGGCCCTGGGGTTACAGTACATACCGTCAGGATTGACCGGCGCATGGGTCTCATCAATCAACCAGTTGTGGTGTACCGAGCCGCACCGGGAGGAAACAACTCTGCTCCTGTTCAGGCTGCCCATGCCCATCACACTCCGGCAAGCACTGGTGTTCCCAGAAAATTCAGGCTCCTTCCCCGATGCCAGCTGGTCGCATTCGGAGCTGTGCTGTTGAGTCGCAATCTGCACGTTACATCCTGGGCTCTAGAGCTCAATCCCTTGAATGCGTTTCACCCACGTGCCCTTATCCTGAAAATGCCCGGGCTGCAAACAGAGGCAGCATAACAAAGTCTATTCGTGGGATTTGTTCAACATCTCGAGAGGATCCAAAACCCAGGATAGACTCTGAACAGATCGTTACTGCTGCACTTGACATTCTGCGGGGTGCTTAGCGCCCGCAAGCTGGGCTCTCAAGTAATGAGTGCATGAACCCCTGCAAGCTGCAAAAGGTTTCCAGCTCCAACTCAAACTCTGCTCTGTGACAAGGATCAAGGCTTACTGCGAGTAGCCTTCAAAGCACATTCAACCCAAATAATGAGATCCGGCACCGGAGCCGAGGCAGAAATCGCCACCGTCCTCGAACAAGTCAGGAAGCTTGCTTGCAAAGAGGTCGGGTAGAGTGGTCACAAGGATAAATGCTGGGTCGTCTGCCTGATGCCTGTGCACGGGGTTCGGCAGTGGACAAGCTTTGCCGTTCAGCGGTGAAGCCTTCGTAGCGCTTTGCCATGTTTTGCTTTCGGTCGAGGCTTGCTGAGCTGCTCGCACTGGGTCTTGACGAGCCCATGGATGCTGCTCGGCTTAGACTCTGACCATGCAGACACTTCCAGACTAATTACTATGGTACGACGTTTCCTGTGCAACGCACGGACATCTTGAATTAGTGCGTGACGGAGCACCGAAGCAAAAAACAGTTGTCCGGGACAGCCAGCACCAAACCCGATCTGGCGGCTCTGCAACCGATGCAAGGCGGATGCGCGTATGTGAACTCCCTAGAACTCCTGATCTGCGCGTTGCCCAATACGTGCCGGCCCCAGGTCAACACAGTTCTTTCCGGAGGTCAGTTCCAGAAGCTGATGGTAGCAGCGTCCTCGGTGACCGCTTTCCGACCCTCTTCCCCAAAAGTGCCAGCTTTTGCAAGCTTTATGCCGGCCGGGGCCCCGCCCCGACTCCTATCGACTCCTTGATGCCTTCGGGTACCTGAGCCAAGGCTGCGGGCGGCAGATATAGCCCGCAGTCAGAAGCAGAAGCAGTACAAGAGTTGATATTTTGGATGCTGAGTAGTGTTTGCATAGAGGAGGTCCTTGCAGGTGGCAGGGGTGGCGAATGACAGTTTCTTCTGCGCATGCAACATCAGAGTCCCCCGGTTCGGATAGCGATAGCTGCTCCCCGCCCTGCAAAGCTCCCTATGCTGCAGAGGCGCACTGCTTACTTGTCAAACCGGCGTTCATTTTGCTTGACGAGCTGCAGCCTCAGTTTCAGGAGTCTCTGTGTGTGCGCGTGCGACAAAACTTGATGCCGCATGTAATGGTCTGCAAGAGTGTGAGCATATTTCGAGATGCGATTACGCTTTCAACGAGCACGGCACGTTCAACTTGCATTCTCAACTTGTGGATGCTGTGCTCCCTGGCGGTTGTTGCTGGGGTCGCTGAGGTCAATGGCACATCTCTCGCAACAGAGTCAACACCACCTGTATGGCCTGTTCCTTGGCTAGATGCCATTATCCAATTCGGTTCCCCCGGTAACAGGCTTCTGCACAGGCCTCGTGAGGCTAGGAGGTCCGTGTTCCGTTGTTTTCGAGTGCTCGACGAGCTTCATATAAGAGATCCCAGCGGCACGTTCTCGGAAGCAACGCGGCCAGGCGTGGTGACTCAGTACAACCTTGCTTTTATACTATCGCATCTTCAGCCCGACATTGGAAAACTGCAACAAATGCTTCACCTTATTTCAACATTGCACAACTTTCGCCCGCAAGGCTTATCGACGAGCTCATCGGACCTGGACTTTGTGGACTGGTCAGCACATGCCATAACCCACAGGACACAGATGTGGGCCAAGCGAAGTTATGGCGTCCCTGGATTTCGATGTCGCTCCGAGTTGGTTTGTAGTAATTACAAGTCCTTGTCGTCCTTGTCGAAAAACGGTGTGCCTTGCCAGGACCTTGGGCGATATCATCAAGTCCATTATCGGATCAGCCGCAAGGTTCGAGAGAGGCATCCTGCCTGAACACAGTCCTGCAAATGCTCGGCTCTCGGACTAGTGAGCCCGGCAAACGTCCTGGAGTTTCCGAGAAAAACTACCAGTGTAACCTGAATGCCTGACATCCTCGACAAGACTTTTTGCGGGGATCCAGACTGCACATTGAACTCCAAGGTGCGATAGCACTGGCAGCACTGGATCTGGGTTCTGCACGCGCAAACTGGAGCTGGTGGAGCCAGGTCGGTCTCCTTGGTGGCAGTACCAGATTTGAAACCAACTTCGGCAGCCGAAGCTTGTCCTTATAGGCTCCCGACTCTGAGTTGACGGAAGCGTGTCCATCCTTCCTTGACCTTTTCGAGATGAATCAAAGCTGGACATGCATGGGCGAACTGCGACATCGGAGGTGCGGCAGTGGAGGCAGATACAACCAGCCCGGTACAAGATGTGCACCGGCGCCTTGCCGAGCAGGACGCTCGGTCGAATGCAGCTACAAGGCTTCAGAGTGCATCAGAAGGCTGTAAATGGCTCGAGCATGCACCATCCGTGCTGGTGAATCTGCCTTGCAGTTATGGTTCACATTTCATTGCCCTAGGCATTCACTCCTCCCATGGGCAAGTTGAGGGTCATCGTATCCGACACTCATCCGATGCACAGCTTGAGATGTATATGGCTGTATGTATGTATGTATGTATGTATGTACGCATGCATGTATGTATGTATGTATGCGTGTACATATATATATATGTATATATATATACATTTTTTCCACGTACACGGCATAGTTTGCTACGTGTGGATCGCATGTGTTGCTCCGTTTCCGAAGGTATCCGAAGGTGATTCTTCATTTATATTTGTATTTTCGCGTCTTCAATGCCATGATGTGTCTGTGAGGTATGTTTCTTGTGGGTTGGTCACATTCTTCCTTCATTTTGGGTTGGCGTGCCTCCCGATCCGCATGGCCTTGGACTTTATATTTCATCTCTTCGTGGAGGTCTAGCAGGTGTAGAGATGTTTGGAAGTTTCGGAGTTTGGAAGGATTGCGACCGTCATCCCAGCATCAGGATTTGCCAGACCACCACCACAACCGTTTCGAACAATCCCCCATGTTTTGCAGTCTTAGAAGACTATCTACTACAACGAGTCCGTAATGAATACTACACTTAGAAGATGTGAGGATAGCATGCACATTCATCAGCTTCCAGGCTCGCTTGTTCATTCATGACTCCTCATTGGCTTAGGACCCCAGGCTGAGTGCAGCAAGTCTTTGTTACCAATATGCAGGTGCAAAATCCGACTCCCATAAAATATTGTGTTCAGACTATGTGTAATGCTCCTTCAATTCTCCGTCCTAGCACATCCGGAACATCGGCACCAAGAACTCCCAATTCGTCCATTTCTGCACTGTGGTTTTAGAATATTGCTGCTAGTGTTCGAACCCACATCCGGCGCATTTAGCATCCATGCTGGGCAGGAGGGAAAAACCTTCATTCATTTGCTAGCAGGTTTCATATCTTTAGAATACTTATTGGGTCGGGCGGTGCATGCAGGGATGACTAAGTTCTGCGTGCATGCGTTTGTTATGTATGTACGTGGAATCGGACGGGTACGCAAGCAAATAAAGAACAGCTGTATGCTTACATATGCATATATATATATATACACACACACACACACTCACATGCATAGAAACCTGCCTAGATCTGCAATTGCTGCTGCCCGAGAGATAGGATTTGTTCACGTCAATTTCAGAGGCTGATGGCGGGATCTCACCATGTGGTCGAGAATGGATTGGGAACTGCGTCATATACCAAGTCTTCTCTTTATCATTAAGGCATGTTCCCGGACTAGTGTGGGGGCATGCACATTCGGATCTATGAGTTATTATCCTCTTCCGCATGAAAGTATGCAACATGTTCAGTTCTACCCAAAGGCTTCAGGCCTGGCCCTCTAAGCCTGGGTCCTCCTGGAACCCTCTCTCCAGGCACCCGACTTCCAGCCCTTGACCCCGAAGCTATGATTTAGGAAATGCCACGTTGAGCTCGTTATGTATCGAGTCTTCTGCTCTCCTGGTGCAGGACGAGGAAATTGCGATGCTCCAGCATGCTGTCCAGCACCTCCGGGAAAAGCGGCCTGTCAAGCATGGGGAGAATAAAGATCACCTGTCGGCCTTCATGTTTGCCAGCATTTTTGCGGTGAACTCATGAGAAGAGAGGGTGTCGGAAAGATCGACTGCGAGACCCAACCTGATTTGCTCGGGACCCTGCCTCGCGCATCCGAGGTCAGCAAGCAGGCAGGACTGAGTCTGCGAGAAGCATGCTTTGCACTCTTCCGCGATGGCCTGCGACCCGTTCTATCGGCTTTGCTTGCGACCACTGGGGCCAAGCAGTTTAATTCAAGTGGCTCTGGCCCCTGCGGTCTCCCACGGTGTTTGGCCTGTTGGGCCTCACACCAGCGAACCTTGTTCCTCGTTACAGACTTTCACTTGGCCTTCTGACGAAGAGAGCAAAAAAGAAGTCAAGCATAGACTTGCCCGGTTTGTGCAACTGCAGTCTAGGTATGGTTCCTTGGCCGCGGCACTCGCCTCAAAAGGCTTGCCATTGGCGCTGACGGCAGCCGGGAACCTCAGCTTCAGCTCCCGCTCAGGAAGGGCATCGCATCTCACGAAGTGACACGCTTGGTCCGCTTGGTGCCGAAGCCCCGCGAAGATGAGACAAGGTGCTGGGTCCTCCGCCCGCTACTCCAGCCGCAAAACCCAAGGCACGCGTCCTCAGAGGCTTAGCGGGTGCGGGCATCGAGGCTTTGGTGGTCAGAAATCGCTCATGTTTTGCGATGTAGCTGTGCTTCTCCCAGTGCCACCTGTGCAGTCACGTCATAGTAGGGCCCCGACACTTAAATCACCCTGCATGTATCAGTCTCAGGCAGTGGTGCCTGATTGTATGCCGACAACCAAACCGAAAAGCAATCTCCTAGATTGTGAAGACCTCGAGTTGAGATTGAGACAGTTCCAACATGTAACATGTAGGCATCCGCAAGTCAGCAAAGTCTCAAAGATAGCAGACGCCAACAACCATGTGATAGCTAATCAAGCCTGGAACCTCTAGGCTGACTAAAAGGCCCTCCCTATGCAAAGCGAGCAGCCCCACAGCTGCGATGCCGACCGAAGGCCTCTGCGTCTTCTGCCAAACCCAAAGGAGGCCCTCGTAAAGAGCTGCAAAAGTGCGGGGGGGTTGTCTCAGGGCTCGCAGGATTCGTGAAGAGAATTCTTCTTGCTGCCGCTCAGCTCCCAGAATTGGGGGCATGGTTTAGCATTGCTAGCATGGTTACATGAGCACGGCAGTTCAAGTTCCGCCAGGTGCGCCCGCGCCACTGGTGGCAATCCCACCGCTGCCGCCCGCATTGAGCACGGCTCCAGAAGTCTTCGAGACAGCGCCACTCCTCCCACCCCTTCCCACCAGGCCTCCGGAGCCCCCACCTCCCCCAGCACCTCCCCCGCCACCCCCTCCACCCCCAAAGTGCCCTCCACCGCCAGCGCACCCAGACAACAAGCAAAAGCATGAGGGGACGAAGGAGGATCAGGCACCAGAGATCGCCCATCAAATGTACAGCCGCGCTAGCTTGAAATCCTGTACGGTTGCTCACCGCTGCTCGCACTCAAGCTCTTTTTCCATGCCATGTAAAAAAAACAGGCCGCAGCCAATCTCTCCGATTGGTCCGAGCACAAAGATGCCAAGACGGGCCGGACGCATCTCGCTTGCATTGTGCATGTGGCATCTGAGGCTGCTAGATGAGGCCTTTGGCCTGGTTGGTTGTGCGAGCTCTCAAGTTTGCGATGCCCAAATGCATGCCTGAACACGACTCTCGTCGAACTCCCAAGCTCCAGGTACTTCCACAACCGAGCGACCGGCGAGTCAACCTGGTCGAACCCCGCGCTCGCCAAAGCTGCAGCGCCAAGAACGAAGGTAGGGATGACTTCCGCTCTGAGGGACGGTCATGTGCGTCCGGCTGTCCATGCTGAAGTTGTTCAGAGTTGCCGGGCGAAAAGCGCATTCAGCCCGATGAACTCCTGCAGACCCGACACCCGAGCCCTTCCAAGAGCTCCGTCTCAGATTCCATTGGATAGACAGTTGGCATGTGTAGTAGATCCAGTAGGATGGGTTTGGACCTGGTCTTCTGATTGGTGGATACATCCTGGTACTCATTGTGGCCCTGCAGCGAAATCAATCCATTCCGACCCAGCCTCGAACCTCAAATCGGCAGCGCAGGAGCCCGAAGCTGGCCTCATCCCGGGCACCAAGGATCCGGTTCAGGAGGCTAGGATGGGAAGAATCCTTGGACTCCAGCTTGTGAAAGACCGCTACGCCCACAGTGTGCGACTGGCGAAGGTAGTAACCTCACTCGCAGCTTACAGAGCCAGCTCACTGAATTTGCAGGAGCCAAAGATTGCGGCGAGCTTATTGAGTCCAACATGTCTGAGCAGTCTTTTGAGTCTGTGAGCTGGGCTTATACTGAGAGAACGGGAACCTGGGCAACACGGAATGGTCGGGACACCATTGGAGACTTCGACTCCGAGGCTCCAAAGCCGTGGCCTGCCGCCAAAGCTGCTGCCGCAAGGCTGCAAAGGGGTTGCCGCATGGGACACGAACACCCTTGGGGGGGGGGGGGAGGGTGTTCTCTCCTCGGTCCTTGCTGTGCCCTTTCGTGACATTGGCTTGTGGCTGATGAGCTGGTTCGTCTGAAAGCTTTCGATGTGCATCACCATTTGTGGTTGTGGCCGGATAAGCCGAAGCTTGGGGCTGGACAGGTTGACAATTCTGAATGACTTCTTCCCAACGAGTTTCGAAAATCTCATCATGTGTTGCCATTTAGGGGCTCGGCCTTGGGCCTCGGGCACGGTTGGCAGATGTAGTTGGTCCGGTCCCTTCCTGCAAGTTTGCATCCTAGGAGCCGAGAGCTGCTACATCCGCACCAAAGCATGTGCAGACGAGCAGCGACCAGCCCGAGCTGTCCGCCTTGACACATGGCTGCACATGCCACGTGAGCTTGACGCAGTGTGTACGGATTGCCGAAACCGTGTTTTGTCGTCACTTCTGCAGAATCGTCTTCGAAGACGCTGCTGGCTTGGGCTTTGCAGATGTCGCCCGCGAGCTTCTGTTGATCAGCGGCTGCGCCATTCTTCTGGATAGGCCTTGCCCTCTGGACATGGTCACCCTGCGACTGCTCCTCGGTTGCTCGGTGCCTTGGATGCTTTTGCAATTGAAAGGGACGCAACGGAGCAAGGACAGAAATGCTGGTGTGTGGTGAGCCGGATGCCGGAATCTGCGGCACACCAAGGTACCTGGCCCTGGACAGAGGGACCAGGAGGGCCTCGAGGCTTCCTTACAGCTGTGGCTGCATCATCTGCAGGGCCACCGGCACCACCTCTTCGTGGTGCGCCGATCGGGGGCCGTGGCCCTGCTTCTGCAGTTTCCAGGTTGCATCTTTCTTTCACCATGATAGGTCGTTTGCTTAGCTTTAACGGGCCCCCAAGTCAGCCAGATTAGGACATGTGATTTTCTCATGTTAAGGAAGTAGAGAGAAGCACCCAAGTTTGTATACCATCTTTTTTTCTCGCTTGCTTCCACAAGGTTGTGCTTCGGGCCCTACCTCCGGCGCCAATTTCGAAAAGCTGCTTCACACGGTCCCTTGACCTCCACTTGGCCCTTCCTCCACCTGGACGAGGACCTGAGGCCATGGCCCCCACCCATGTTGCCATGCTTCTGGGCACTTCAGACGTCCGTTTGCTTTTTTGGTAGACTTGGTAAAGACATAAGTATTGAAACCAAGTTCTCTCCGCGCCGGTCCAGGTTTGCAGTCTCTTCTTTCCGGCTCCCCTCCGGTGCACTTGAGCGGGAAGGGTCCAGAACTGGAGCAGGCAGAGCGGGCTCATTGCACATAGGTGAATTTGTACATGTAGCTACACTAGCTTCGCATCGCAGTTTCGAAACTCGCGGCTCCTTTGGATTCTGTTTACAGCAGTCTGAGTAGTCTTGGATGGAAGGCGGGCAAGCCAATTTCAGCTCCCGTCGTTGCGACAGCGTGCCCCAAACTCAGCCATCCTGTCAGCTCGGAAACTCTGTAGTACAGACTTCATGTCAGATTGACCCGCACGTAAAAAGCCTAGCCGCTGCCAAGCCAAAGCCAGGTGATTGCTTCCCCCAGCATGGCTGAACCAGGAGCTCTTAACACCCACAGTGGCTGCTGACAGAATCCCAAACCCGACGACATCTGACGGTTGTGTGATCAAGGCCATTCCCGTGCCCACGCTTCTGCCGTGGTCGGTCGCCTTGCCGGTGAGCTGCTCCAGAGCCAGGAGGAGCGAAAGCTGGTCCTGCAAGAACTCGACCCCTTGCCTGCAAGCTCCATGGAGGTCGTCCTGGTGATGCGCGGGTCTGCGGACGAGCTTGCGACTGAGAACTTGCATGGGACGCCGCAAGACCCACGCATTGCTGACCCACTTCTGAGGCACTCGTGAACTCTTGGATTGGGCTGAGGACTGATTTCCAGTCGGTGCGAGAGACACTGTCGGTGCCTCCTCTCGGCCTGGGACCCGGAACGGGGCATCGTCGGGGTGCGGCATTCTTGGGCTGCGAGCTGCAATGCCGTAAGCATGGCCGAGATGAACCCGGCAAATGCGCAAGAAGAAAGAAGAGTCTCTGCAGAAGCCTGGCAGTGAGTGTAATTGGAGGGAAGGCAGCTCACACGCTGACAGAAAGAAGATCGGTAGGGGGCTCTTGACCAGACCGAAATATCTCCGTGCTGCAGACGTCACCCGTGTTCAAGAACCCTCACTCAGACCCGGCAGGCAACTGGAACAGGCACGCCTCAAACTTGCTTTCCGACACTCCCGTACCTTTGCAGCCAAAGGCTTTGTGGAACTTCTGTGCACCACCGACCCGGCCGTGATAGGCTGGATTCCACAGCTGGGTCGCGCTGTGCGGGGATTTCTTAGCGTGAAGGTTCGGTTGTTCGAGGCTTAAGAAAGGCGATCGCACTAGTCCTGATGCTGCAGAACTGCACCGCAGTACAACTGTAGTGGAGTGAAAGAGGAGGAGGAGGAGGAGGAGGAGGAAAATGGCCCACCGGCATTGCCTCGGCCGCCAGCCCCCTTCCCCCCAAGCATCTCCGAGCAGCTCCTATCTCGTCATCGCTGCTCTCCGTGAAGGGTTCGAGAGGGCTTGCACAAATCCGAACCCCGAAAGCCCGAGTAGATGCATGACGAGTGAGACCGGCACGAGGGGCCGCTTAAAGGTGAGAAGAGAGGAACCAGCTCGATGGGACACCTAGCTGTATCCCCCGTCACGAAGTGCTACGCAGTGCTAGGCAGTGAAAATATAATAAAGTAAAGACGGGCAGCGTTTACAGTAGCAGATGTCAGCGGTGCTGATCTGGCGGTATATGGGAACCACGTGTAACCACCCCGGGATGCACTGAATGAGGTCTGCATCTTACTGCACGTGAGGGCAGCAACTACATCGGCACGGACCGTACCAATATTACCGTGGTTGGGACGACACGGCTGTACCTGTCTCACGAGCGCGCCTCTAGCCACACCCACAGCACCGCCCAAAACAAAAACACCCAGGACTGTCCCGGACCTAGCGATTGGGCCCGAAAAAGTGGCTTGGGCCAGATCAAGCCTTTTAGCCAAGGGTGGTCAGAGTAGGAAGGCAGCATGACGAGGCTACAGGCTGGTGAAAGTTAGAATGGGGGGAGCGAGTAAGAGAGGAAGCGGGAGGGCAGCAACGAGGACGACAAGCCGACAGTCAGAAAGACATAAGCAATGAGTGACGGGGCAAACAGTGTGCAAGACGCTAAAACCTTTCCGCTATGACTGGGGGCGAACTAGCTCGACGGCACTCTACGGACCAATATGCGTCCCTCCGCGCTGACAGCGGGTATGGCTCTAGTCAGAGCAATGGGAGGCCAATCTTGAGCCTTTATGGGAGCCCATGGTATCAGTGCTTGGAGAAGGGAAAAGATTGGGCTTGGGTCGCCACCCTCCAGCGGCTGCAGGAGCCACCGTCGCACTTTGCGAGTTGGGAGTTTACGATGTCGCATTTGCGCCGGGTCCAGCCCCCGGGTTGCAGTGCGCAGCTGAGTGGAAAGTGTGGTCATGGTATTCTGCGTCCGGCGGACACTGCACGAGCGAGCGTGGCATCGAGCGTGGCCACGATCTCCGCGAGGATGCGAATTGTGACGCGGTAGCAAACGTGGCCGTGCCGGAGGTGAACCGGAGCCAGCGAGCACGACGCCACCATGCATGCCGTGATCGGCACTAGCTGCACCACTGGCTTCGGTGGCGAGTCCAGGAGCTCCCGGGCGAGAGCGGTCGGGATCGGCATGCACTGGGAGTGAGCAGAAGGACGTGCAGTGTGGGCCGTGTGGGCGCTGGCCAAAGCCCCACGTGGGGTTTGCAACTACAAGCTCCAGAACAAGGCACATGGCACAGCGATGTAGATGCACAAGACCGTTCAACAGGAACGGGGTGAGGAGGAGGAGTCGGGGCACGAGCGAGCAGGGAAACAGGGCAAGGCGAGGACGTTCGGAGGCCGGCTGAGCGAGCAAGCGAGGGGAGGAAGAGGGGCAAAGAACGGCAATGAGGTTTGGCACTGTACGGGCGAGAGGGGGCGAAAGATGCCTTAGTGCCTCCCCCGGTATCCCGCCCACCTCGGCAAGACCCCGTATGACCATGCCCAAGCCGTTAGAACCGGGGGAGTGGAGTGATCAGATACGGCGAGCCATGGTGGTACTGACATGCTGCGGCGAAATGACAGGTGCGAAGTATGTACACGCCGAATTTTGTCGTGCATCTATCGGTCTATCATCCTATTATTATCTATTAATCTAATCTAGCATACTCCACGCTAGTGTAATCTATAACCTAAATCAGACTTAGTCTTATTCTACCTACCTACTTACCTACCTACCTACTACCTCCGTGGCCGGATGGCCGGCTGGCTAGCTAGCTAGCTATTTATCTATCTACCTGCCTGCCCACCCTCCTACCTACCAACGACCTATAATCTATCCATCTATCTATCCACCTGCCTATTTATTTATCCATCTAATTAGTCGTCTGTCTATCTATCTATCTATCTATCTATCTGCCATGTATACAAACCCAGGCAGATCTGTGTCTTTATGTTTGTATCGGCATGTGTATCCCGGCATGTGCGTGCGTGCGTGTGTGTGTGTGTGTGTCACAACTCTTGTGACGACAGGCAATCTCATCCAGTTGTCGTGTACCCTGTGGAGGGGCGTAGAGGACACTTACAGAGCTTTGCCCAACGAAGCTCTCTGTGAGATCTCAAGATATACAATGTGGTCAGCTGGACATACCTGCAATTTAGAACCACTGCCAACGTTAACACACCTCTTTTCCGAGGTCGGCGTGCCTCTGGGAAGTTTGACAGCAAAAGTAGTCGGGAGGGAGCAATCCGCGACCACGTAGCGAGTGTATAAACGAACTCTGATGCACTTTCAGGTCCGAACGAAGATCCTGCATCTGACAGCAGCCACTACGGACAGCTTCCTGCTCAGGCGATGTGATGGTCCCAACATCCTCACGGCCGTCGGCATCGCAGCCGGACAGGGCTGGCAACTTGGGCTTTCCGCCTTCGGTGCAAACGAAGAGCAGCAGCGCCTCAAGGTTGTCACACGGGTTGAGGATTGTGGCACGCACCTGTGCTCCATTTTGTGCCCATCCGTCCATCAACACGACCTCCCAAAACCGTCAATCACAGAATCGTTTTCACCGAGGTCATGCCGATGTCCATCCTTCGAGCAGGTCTGGTCGGAATGTCATGCTGCGATCATTCATTGAAGGTCTAAGAATCTAAGTGTGTTGAGGGGACGGAATCGAGTGTTAGAAGAGACATTCTGTCCGATCTCATATCCCCGGCTGCGACCGCGAAACACGGTGCACACCCCCAAAACCACAGGCACCGGTAGACCAGTGGAGTGCCTTGTTCGGCACCATGAACAGCCGAGAGGTATGGAATACCCTCAGTCCCGAACCCACATCCTGACCAGGCTTGGGGTATTCCGAGACGGTCACTACTTCCTGGCTGTCGACAGCCCAGTGATCTGCTGAGTCAGCACTGCGCCATTTTTGTTGAGGGTGGGGGTCTTGCCTATCTCGCAAGGCCAAAGACTTTTAAAGCAGGGCTTTGGATGAGGGATAGTGCGGGGGCATGACGTTGCCTCAACTCAGGCAGCGACATGCACGATGAGTTGGAAAGGGTTCAACTCAATGCGCATTATCGTCATGGGCCCCATGCGTGCAACTCCTGGCGCTTCCCAACCTGAGTGGTCACAGCCAAGGTGTGACAAAACTCCTGACAGCGCTGCAAGAGGCAAGAAATCGTGAGGTTGACGCATGGATACATGACAGTGTACATGAGGTGATAGCAAAAACTGAAGAGACCCTTGCAGCCATGTTTTGTGGGTGGGCACTTTTCACTTAGAAGACTACACGCAGGCTTGGCCAGGGTGGCATTGTTCTCGCGAGTTGTTGGCTCAGAAAAACAACCCAAAGACTCCGGGCTCGGGGTCCGGAAGCATGTTCTGACATGCCTTGCAGTATCACAGGCTGGCAACTCCACTGCCATCCGCGGAAAGCCAAAGCCCAGCCTTTGTCTTCAGCGCTTTCCCGGGTAGCAGAACAGTATGTGCGCACGCAAGTCCGATGCATACAGGGACAGTTGAAGAACTAAACCCCGATGCCTCCACGATCTGGTCTGAGTTGATGAGAGCTGAAACCGTCGAAACCTCAACTGCAAGCAACTGGAGCCCTATGCCGCTCGAAGCAGGGCCCTACCTAAAACTCCGATGATACTTGCGTTGGATTTGAGGTTTGCGGGGGCTACGAAGTGAAGGCTTTCGCCCCAGTGCCAGGCTTTGGGAGATGATGAATGAATGGGTTTGGAGGTTCACAGCTTTGGAGAGTTTCAAGCCTTTCCGCTGAGAGATGTGAGGGTTCAGGTGCCTCCGAAACCCTTAAGGCTTTGCGTTGTCATGAATCCCGTCGACATGCGTTGCAGTTTCCAACGATCGGTGATGATCGAGCGTTTGGCACTATGAGCAGGTAAACACTTGCATCGGCTAGTTGGAGAGCTGCACCCTGTCCTAACCGGCCTCTCGCACGTTTGCACACCACTTCACAGCCCAGCTCTAGCCTACGAGAGTTGAACAGACAAAGAGCTTCAAGGAAGCATCGAGGTTGCAATTTGCCCTTGCTTATCGAAGCCAACCCCGCACCCCACCCCCCCCCCCCGCCCCAAGAAGCCCCAAAACCCTACTGGTAGCTGCCATGGGCTGTGGCGCCAGCGCCCAAGCCAAGTATGCCCAAGCTCCGAAAGAGAAGGCTATGGCTGCTTGCGCTGAAAAGGGGACGTCACGACGGGTTCAAGTTCATGGGTGGAGTGTACTTTGTGCCTTTGGTTAGGCGGTCTGCCACCCTGCGTGCCAAGTCTCGTCGGAGGTTTTGGTCTGGACTCCACTATTTGGGTTGAACCAAACAAAGCATCGGAGATCCAAGACCTGAAGTTCTTGAACCGCGAGGCCCAGCGCCCCAAGCTGCCCTGAAGCCACGCCAGGAGCCAGGAAATCGAAAGGGATCCAAGGAGGCCGAGCAGGAGTCAAAGACGCCTGCTCTAGCCAACAAAATTTGTTGCAGTTTGTTGGGAATCTGGGTTCGTATACAACCGGTGGAGGGGGTTCCATGCTTTTACCGAACCAGGACCAACCCAATTTGATCCTCGTCTAGCTTTGTGCTTGTGTGGGTGAAGAGTAGTATGGATGTGCAAGCTGCCTGTTGCAACGAGGGCAGGGCAGTGCTTCATCAAGTTACAGTCTGGAAGTCACAACGGCCGGCAAGGAGGATGACTGCCCTGCCATTCCACACAATCGGTCGAGGACCCATGGAATGTGATACGGTCCATGGCACGTGGCCACGCATGCGTGACGGCTTGTGTTGGGCGGAGGAAGCGATCGATCACGGCAGTGGTGCGACCGAATCAGCACTGGCCTTGGCAAAAGACCGCAAGCGTACTTCAATTCCTGTGATCTCAGAAAGGATAGGGCTAGCGGCTAGCAAGTTGAAACTCGACTCAGATTCATTCACAGAGTTCTGCGGAAAAAAGCTGCAAGGCGCTTGGTCGACTTTTACCAGGTCGAGAACCGGGGCCTGGCCTTTGCGAGTATTGGGGCCCAGTAGCACACCAAACAGCTCGAGAAGAGATGTTGCTTGTAGAAATGACCCCCGAAGCTCGGAAGATCTCGGAAATCCTGCGCTGATACGAGGCACTCAGACGGCCAGCAGGGAACCCCGAAGCAACACAAGGACCGCGTCTCTGAACGTCCTGTCGGGGCCGTGCTCAGTTCCGCCAGGATCACACTCAAAGCGACGGGCGAAGTCCGAGCCTGCAGGCCGACCGGCTGGATCTCCAGCTTTTAGCTTGCAGAAACTGCAGCAACAGCGCAGGACCATTCGCCGGCGTAGGGTGGACTCCTACAGCGCGTCGAAGGACACGATGCAATCCGCATCCTCGCCGCATCGCTGACATGCGAAAAGTCGACTGCCTGAGCTTGATGAAAGATCCCAAACTGCCCTCAACCGGACATGGATCTGGCTCTTTATAAAATGTGTTTACAACTCATGTAGGCAGCCCGGCTGCGAGCCGCGGGCAGACATTGAACCGTGGGATGCACTGTTCGGTCTGAACCATGCCATGTCTGCGGGTGAATACACGACCAATCCAATCCACAATACTATCTTCAAGCCACAACTCTCCTGCACAGTCTCCGGTCAAGGCTCTGGGCCTCAGACGTCAGAAGGCATGATTCCTCGTCAAACGGCACCCCTGCTCGCTAGCCAAATTGGAACACGAATCCCGATTTTGCGCTCTCCTCTTCCTCCGGGGAAGTCTCCAGAATCAGAAGTTTTGCCTAGAGGGCATCAGTTCCTGTAGACGCTATACTGAAGCATCAGAGAGGAAGTTGAAATCCTGCGCACTGACCATCCGAACATCGTGAAATTGTTCGAGGCCTGTCGGGCTCGGTCAGAATAGTTGGCTTTGAGCTTCAAGCTGCAAGTTCCAGCGATGCAGACGACGGGTCTTTGGTGGCTTTGGTCAGTGCCGCGACGTACAGGCCGGATAATGAGGAACTTCCGTAGCTAAAGAAGACAAGACAACACTTAAATTGAGGAAGGGTGAAGTCAAAAAGAGCAAGTCGGGATCTGCTTGCGAGACAGCCCCTGTGGATTCAACTGCTGGGAGTTGATGCATGAGCCTCGTGTACTGGGCGTACTGATGGATCAGCGAATCTTGGGCTGCACTTGCCTTTGCCACCTCTAAAGTCTGCATTGTGGAGCCGAGTTGACCGCATCAGTCGCCGGAGTCAAACCTGTGGTGGGATGTAGTCGAAAGGCAAACCTGCACGCAAGGTGTTTGAGGATGAGGTCAACATGTACGTCATCCTTCAGTGGTGCGAGGCGGGCAATGAATGTGGACGAACAACTTCGGTGGATGCAGCAACAGACTTTGAAGTGCCTGAGCCTCTGAGCTCTTGCGTCTGACCCTATGACAAGCCACTAGAACCTCCTCTAGAAGCCTCGAGTTTTTGTTGAACTGCTCCGATGCTCCGATCCTTGACCTCAAGCGAAACATCCAACGATTATCCCCGAGAGGGTGGCAACATCCTGGAGCGTATTCAGAAGGAGCCAGACCTTTCAGAATCTGCAGTGGCGCCTCGGCATGCCTCGGCGAGCTCCGTGGTAGTCTGATTTTGCAGTCATTGATCTCATCCGGCTTGATTCGTTGAAATTCTTGGCACACTGCTTACATCACGGTGCTGATGGAAATGAGGCGCACATTCTGCAGCAGGTGCTGCACGCGGCTTGCCGAGAGCTGAGCACTGAAGTCAGGTGTCAGACACAGGCCTGGCTTTGTGGCTCTGTCTGAACCTGCAGCCTGCAGATCCAACGAAAACCTCGATGCCCTTGGCCTTTGCAGCCTCAGGTCATTTGCACCTGAACCTGATCTGCCACCGCAACCTCACACTGGAGCACATCTGCTTGTTCGAGCGGGCGGGGGTTCTACTGCAAGCTTCGGTTGTTGAAGTACATGAGTTAAGGGCCCGCTGCAATAGATGTCATGACCAGTACTATGCTAACTGCGATGTGTGCACAACGAACCTAGCACGGCTGCGTTTTCGCCACCTTGCTTGGCAAGCAGTAGCTCCAAACCGCCATATTCGTTATGCCAGATCCAACTGCACGATGCAACGTATGTTCAACGGGTGTTTGCAGACTCGCTTCCTTGTCGCAGAACCTTCCGCTGGAAAAGAGCGTAGTGAAGATTTGGGACTTTGAGCTGGCGACGACGCTGCCGAAGGAGGGTGCCAGTGGCTGGCCTTGACCATTGAACAGATACTGAACAAGTGGATCACAGTGGAACGTGTAGATGTCTTCTACAGCACTCGGGTCGTGCCGAGCTATTTTCTCGCATGGTTGCGAAGCTTCGTTCTCGAGACTCGAGGTTTGCAACGCTCTGAAGTTTATGTTAGGTTAGACTAGTCGCCCCGTCCTAGAGCCTAGGGCCCATCCTATGCGGGTTTCCCATGTAGCTTCCTACCAAGGCATGAGCGAAAGCATTGTGGAGCATGGTGCCTTGGAAAGATAGCGTGCGACCATGTCGCCTCGGCTCTGCCAGGCCTAGACTTCGCCATCACAGGTTTTGTACAAGACTTTAAGACAAAGCTCGAGGCTGCAGGCTAGAGGCTTTTCTCACGACACTCAGACGTGTTGAGCCCTTCGCTTCCAAAGAAAACACTTTCTGCAACAAGAGACGGGCAGCCCCAGGGACGAGCTACACGCAAAGATCTAAAAACTCCTGAGGAAACGTTTCGTACATGGCTCCAGAGCTCCTGATGCAGATGCCTCTCTACTGTGGCCCAGCTTGCAGAACAACAGGGGGTGCCCTGTAAAACAGGTGAAGAGTCGTCTTCGTTGTTTTGGAATGTTCCAGTGTGACCGCGGATATGGTCCTCTCCGATTTAGCAGGGAATGCCGCTTTTTTGTCAGCTGCACATAGCATCCATGTCTACATCTGTTGTGCTGGTGCTGGCAGCAGCAGCAGCAGTAGTAGTCGTCGTCGTCGTCGCAGTATAGTAGT